ACCTTGATATGATATAGTCCAATATAAAATACCTAATGGCTAATAAAAAAGTATATAATGTCTCCATTTTAATTAATCCATTTTAAACCTTCAATTTGACATTTAAAAAACCTCCACGTGTGTTGCATTAAGCTAAGTACGTACAATCACATACGGCCAAATCATTTCTTTAGATTAGGTGGAATCATAATCATAATCTACATACCTAAGGTCAAGCAATAGCTCCCATCATATAAGTCACTACCATATTTTATCCTTCCATTATTAAAAAAAATCAATTTGATGAGTACTTTAATTTTTGTTTTGTACCTTGACTTATTGACTTAATACTCCTTCCGTCCCTAAATTACATTCCTCTTTCTCTTTATTATGTGAGGAATAAATGTTAGAAAGAGGAATGTAATTTAGGGATGGAGGGAGTAATATTTACAAAGTTTTCCCCTTAAAAACAATTTTTGATTTATTTTATTTTTACTATTTTATTGCCAAATTAAATTATAAATTAAGGAAATAAAGTAAAAATAGATTTAAAATTACCAAAATTTTAGGAGCATTAAAAAAAGGTCATGGGAAATTGTAGTACATGAAATTCACCTACCTAGCAAGTGAGTGGGACCCAAAAAACGGTAAATTCTTTAAAATGATGATGATTGGGGTGTAAAGAAATTAACCTAACCTAATATTGTCCTTTTAACTGGTTGTTGTGCTAGAACTTGAGTCGTCTGCTTTCACTTGGTAAGTAGTGTAGCTAGCTAATAAGTAGCTAGGACATTTTTGTTGCTAGCAACTTAACATTATGCCATTATGTTGTGCCTATTATTGGTATAGCATTTACCACTATAGATCTTGATTAGTTGTACTATGGAATAAGTTTTTATGTTTGTATGCTAAGTGGCCCATCGTTGACTGCGACCGTAGCTAGCTAGTTATTTTGAAAACTCTTGCATTCCACGGAGTATAGCGTTAATGATACTTCAATTCGTATTTGTACTACGGAGTTTATAAGTAGCTAAGATTAAATACGGAGTATAGTTAAATACAGTATACGATGTATCTCAAATCACTGTACCTTTTACTCTTTTATGCATTGTTCTTTTCGCTACAAAGAAATATGGTATTTGGGTTTGAATTTTCTGAAGGTTGGATTGGTCTGAGTTCTTTCTCATCTGGTTTGATTTTATTGAACATAAACGTTATCGACTTATCGATTGTATACTACTCCCTTCGTTTTTAAATACTTGCTCCATTTCTATTGGACACGCATGCCGATGCTAATTTTTGATTATTGATATATTTAATTATCAATAGGTATAACTTCTAACAATTGAAAATTAATAATCTATTCATTGAGATGATTCCAACAGGTACCCACACGACTATATTTTTTCTTATGTATAAATCACAAACATTAGTCAAAGTAGGATAAATGAATAGTGCAAAAGATAGAAATAGAGCAAGTATTTAAAAACAAAGAGAGTAGTACATAAGGAAAGACATAAATTATCATGTGATATCTTATTAAATTCGCCTTATTAGCTATTTTTCGAATAAGATGGAAAGAGCAAATTTGGGTTGATATTATGTGGATTATTAGTACATATATAGTCGGGTATATGGCTCATGCATGTATGAGTTAGCTAAGGCATATGAACTTGCCAATAAGTTGGTTAGTACATGTTTTTTTAAGCTAACAATTACACTAGTACACTACTTTTATAAGAGATATTAAATTATAATCTTACAAAATCCTTTTTAGTTTAATAATATTGAAAAAATTCTACTGAATTAATAATTTAAGTTGATTTTGGAAGAAGTACATCTATCAATTTGAATTTCAAAAGAAAGAAGAAAGGTATTATCGATCACGATTGATCCATGCATGTGCGCGGTGCGGACATGCAGTAGAAGTCCATTGCTTCGTTTGTTACCAAATCACCAAGCATAGCATGATAGCATGGACCACGGCACATTAATGAAATACAGTGTATGGTACGATTTATCCCCAGCCTATTCATAACTCATAAATTAAACTACTTATCTATCTTAGTATGGACCATAATTCTTTTTGAAATTTTCATTTATGATATACTCCTAAATTATTACTCGTATATAGTATCAGATGTATTATGTATACGCTTGTAATGTGAATATTAACGTCGACTAACTCATAGAGCCATAGTATATTCTATTAAGTAAAATTAGTTATATATGTACACAGTGGCGGATCCAGGATTTCTAATCTATAAGGTCGGGGGGGGGGGAAAGAGTTATATATTCTATAAATTATTACTTTTGTTTGTACTCCGTATTTACTACTCATAAGGTTAAAAACTACGAAGTATATGGTAATTTGTACGGGTATATTATAAATATAAAGATATTATTACTGATATAAAATTAAACTGAATGAGAATAAATATATTACGACTTATCAAACATGTGCATTGAAAAGTGCAATTAAAATGAGAAAAATTTCTTCTAATGTAAATAGTATTAAATAAAAAGATATCATTACTCATTTTTCTATTTTTATCTTTATATTTAATTGGTACTCGTATCATGTACGATATTTAGAAAATGGTTAAAGTTTGAATATAAATTTATATTTACAAGTATTATTATTTAAAAATCATAGATTCTACTTAAATGAGAGACTTTAGGAGAAAAATAGATGAATACAAATTAATAATGCACATGCACACATCAAAACATACAACTATATAAGTAGAAGAAAAAGTATAAAAAATAGTCAAAAGAAAATGTTTAAAAAAAATAACCTAAGAAACCTGTTTTTATACATAAGTACATAACAGGTCTTTAAAAGAGGAGCAGCGCAGGTTAGTATTAGTTTGCTATGGCGTCATCAAAGAGACCAGTTATTTCAAAAAACAGGTCTCTTTGGATTACCTTTTTTTTTCTTTTTTTTTTTTTTTTCTTCCTTCAGGGGTAGCAAGTGCTGCCCCTTGTGACTATGTAGGTCCGCCACTGTATGTACACATATTCGAGTATTAACATTGAAATTGTTTATAACAGCTTATTATATTACCACTAAGCTATATGAAAATTTTACAAAATTAATTCTGCATCCGTCTAGATAATATGACTTTTCTTAAGTAAGAATGCGAATGTATCATATGTAGTTCAGTTTTATAAGGATATATACGGTGATACCATACAGAGTATATTAATTCGATTAATACGAATGATTACACGCGTACGTGGGCCAAGAAATTCAAACATGTATTACTCTACAAACCATGCATAGTTAGTTAGCTAGCAAGCTAGCTATTTTTCATCATGTGGTACTTTACCCTACAATTAATAAAATTTATGTCTTGTTGTATGCAGTGAATACATAATATATTCATTTATAGCATTAAAATGTTGCACCCCAAGTGTTATGTGATTTTGTTGCAGCCTCAAAAAATGGAAATAGCATCACAAATTGGACGTGATTGACCAATATTTAAAGAGATTCCTCACCCCATTCATATTTAAAGAGAGAGAAAGTAAGAGGATTGGGGAATGATTAGTAGTTGTATTTGCCAGATTATAAAAATGCATGTGGTCTGCAAATAATTAATTTAAATACCACTAATATAATTGTGTATTACTATATGTCAAATTAAATGTGTGACATAATAATTATAATAGTTAGAATGTGCTTCTACGGCACGTACATTTTGATTATGAAGTCTCAATTAATGTATTAATTAGCTCTAATTTGTAATCAATGTTGTAGAAAAAATCACTGAAAGATAGAGGACAGATTTAGAGCACCACCTTGTCAACCATGAGCTTAGATATACGTATCTAAGCTACAAGGATTAAATCTTTCAATGCACCGGCAAAATACTAAATTATCATACGGAGCATAATTTAAAATGTTAACTGTATAAGATATACGAGTATTAATCGCAGAAAAAAGTTCAATGCGACAATCAATCTTGTGTGAAAGTGTGGAAGTATACATATAAAAGGATTAACTATCTTGATAAAATATGTGATACTGCTTGACTACTTGTATGACTTTGCCTTAACTTACCATGACATTTGAGTCCATCACAAGTCATAGATGGAAATCATAAATCATAAAGTAAACATGTGAATAGTATTTATTTCTTATTCTTGTGTCCATACAAATTTTTTAGTAAAAACCAACATAAATTTAGAATTTTTCTGAAAAGTAATAAACCAAATAATATAAAATGAAAGATAATACAAGTATGCTTCAAAGCCTCATACTTAATTACAATAATTATTTATCAAACGTCAAATTAGACATTATCACTAATATATGTAATTACTTTAAATTATCTCAACACAAAATTTTATGATTGAAAATCTTCGAGTAGAATTGAATTGTTTGCATATGTCCCTCAAAGCCCCTTATCCATAAGCATTACAACACACATTTTGTGTCGTCGTAGCAAGGCTAGCTATAGTAATAATTTTAATGTATGTAAAAGGTTTTGATGAGACTTGCCTACAACAAACACACATTGTTAAATGCTACTCGTATTAAATACGAGTATTTACTTTCATTCTACTAATTGTAAGGTTAATACCTTAATATCAAATCATTTTTTCAAACATAACTTTAAACTCACCCCATTATTATAAATCAATTAGTGTCAACTATCAATACTTAAAGTTGCTTAATATAGTATTGACTTCCAAACTCCAAAGTAAAGAAGTAGACAGAGCATAGAACTAAAGTTACCCAAAATTGGGTAGGGGTGTGTTGGGGCAGGGTCTTACAAAAAAGCATCATCGAACACCAAAATCTAGGAAGAACAAAGATCTAGGTACTCTTCTTCTAATTATTATAAATTCAATTATTTTTATTATTACAAAAAAATAAAATAAAAAATAAAATAAAATTGAAGGGAATCCATTTATTGCATTGCTTGCATTTCAAATCTCTGTTCTTTCGTGGAATCGAGGCTGCACGCCTCTCACTCATTTTTTGCGTTATTTTTTGAAATTTTGAGGGGAAAATGTGTAGTTGTGGACTAAAAAACAAATTGAATGTCTAGTAATTATATTGATCATTAGTACTAAAATAAGTACTAGCTTGATATATTAATTTCTAATGGGTGATTATTACGAGAATTTGTTTTCCTAATCAAGGATGTAATAATATTAGCCAGCTAGGTCAGTCATATGTTTGATTTTTATAACACAATACTAAGAATTGCATAGATAATAGAGATTTGAATGTATATAAGATATACAAGTAATGCATGGATTTTTTTTTAATATTTCTTTTTTGACGAAAATGTATGAATTAATCTACATAATATTTAATCATAAAATTTGAGTAACTCGTTAAAATAAAGTTTGAAAAAAAATCATGTTACATCCCTAACTATTCAAGACATATCAAATCTATTGTGATTTTGTAATAGTCTACTTGTCCATTATAATTCATGCAAGTGGTTCAAAATCACACTATCATAATTTGCTTATTGGCATATAGCCAATATCTTTACCTAGGGTCAATACTCAATTATAACTTAATAAGTACACCACTATACAAGATCAATATAATTATATAATTCAAGCTTATAAATCATAATAATAAAAATAAAATAAAAATAAAAACAAAAGATATCAAATTGAATTAATATAAAATGTTACGAACCTTACAGTATCTAAATATATTTTAAAAATTTTAAACTCTACCTACATAAACTAACTCGACACAAAATTAAAATTCAAAGTTCATGTCAATGAATTTACAACTAAAATGCCCGCAAAACCACCAATAAATTACAAAGTATGATTCTTGATTTGAAGTAACTTGACATTTTGACAATAGATTATAATTCAAAGTTCATGTCAATTAATTTATAACTACAGTACCCATAAATCCGACCATCAATAAATTACGAAGTATGATTCTAGATTTGAACTAGCTCGAGGCTCAACTCGTAGTCATACGTAGTATATGGTTCGTTAAAACTCTCTCAGCTATTACTCTAATACTGCATGCACTGCAGCTTGTACATTCGCTAACCCTCCCCTTTCATATGTTCGTTATGGCCCATCATTCGTAAAGTGGACCCCACTTTCCCGTACCGTTATATCCCTTCTTTTCAAATTTTTCTCTCTCCTCAATTTTCACCCACACTACAAAAACGGGGCACTAAACACAACACAACAAAAGCCTCAAAATAAAATCAAACAAAACAAAAACAGAGGAAAAGAGAACACATGACCACGGTGAGGCGACCAAAATGGCACCCACAACCACCGCAAACACCTAGAATCCTCCACCTTCCACGGCGGACTACTCGCCGGAAAATACCCACAAAAAACGTCCCTGTTAAATCGACTTCCGATGTAAGCTCGTCATTTCTCAGACGATCACAAAAGGGTAAACTAGAGAATTTATTTGACCAAGAAAGGTCATTTTCTTACACCATTCCTCCGGTTGTTTTACTGAACTCTAGCGAGAGGGGTAAATACGATAATGTACCCGAGAGCGAGGAGGAGAAATGGAGGTTTCAAGCTGATATGTTGAGGGCAGAGTGTAATTTCTTGAGGATGGAGAGAGAAATTGCTGTTAAGAAGTTGGAGAAAGAAAGGGTAGTTTTGGAAAAGAGTTTGAAGTCTGCTGTTCATACCCTTCTCTCTGTTAGTTCCTTAATCTCCTTTTTTTTATTGAAATTGATTCATTTTTAGTTCAGTATTAAGGATAATTACCTTATTATTAGCTTACAAAACAGAAATTTATTTGTCTTACAAACATTTTGCTTTAATACCAATATGACAAAAAATATACTCCGTACATTTATTTGAATTTATGTCAATATTACAATGAAAGTAAAACTTTGTAAGATGAAATTAATTTCATTTGTCTTATATTATTGGTAATATGTTTAGTTGTCCTATTATGCACTGTACTTTTAATCACTTGGTATTTGAAAGGACATGTTTTTTTTTTTTTTTGAAAATTGATTGTCTTTTCCTGCAATGCTACTGTTTCTGTCATTCTGTTTGTTTTAGCCTAATTCATAGTTTCACTAATTTGAGTATTAATTTTTAATTATTGGATTAATTATTGATCAATGATAGGGAAAGAAGAAAATCCGGGAGGGCGAAAGCGGAAATCCAACGTTAGAGGAGGAGATTGAGGAGTTAGCAAAGAAGCTTGTAGAGCTACAAAGGAACTCAAAGTTGAAAACCCCTGAAATTCATAATTGCAACTGTAACTTTGATAAGCAAGCGTCTTTGCTTCAGAAACAACTCGAAAAATACAGTGAAATACAGGATGAATGTTGTGTGAAGGAGATATCAGAAGTAACTTCTGTTAGCCTTCCAATCAATTCTTCAAAGGATGCAAACATCAAAGGGCATGGTTCCTGTCGTCGGTCCACCAGGTTTACTGATGTAAGAGCTATTCTTTGCTTGTTTTTATCGTGATTTTTTTATAGATTTTGTGCTAAGCTATCATCTACCTTGCACAAGAGGGCTCTAGAAGTTGGTACATTATTGAATTGTGTTGAAATTTAGTTACCTTGTACAAGATTTTTCGCTTATATAGGAAGACTTTTGATTCTTGCTTAAGTAGATTTAGAGAACATGCTACAATGTTGATATGTATGTTATAACATAATTCCCTTGCAATAATAGTATGGAACTTAGTTTGATCTACATTGTTAGCTAGAATGAACCAATGAAGTGTAAATTTTCATTACTGTTGTATAGTAAATTTGAATTTTTGAGCAATGAAGATAATTATGGAGTGAATATATGATTTGCAGGTGGAGACTTTGAGAAGAAAAATGGAGGGGTTATCAAAGGGAAAATTACTTAAGAGAATGGAAGAAGAGTATGGATACATGTTGTCAGCAACAACTAACTATTCTGTCCCCAGTTCAGCTTCTACTTCAAAACGACATGACCTAGCCGAATCATCTTCCTTTCCATTTCAACAATCCTCACAGGTATGTTCATTCCTCTTCGGTGATCGCCAATAGCCAGACCTTAAATTTGTGTATAAGCTTCTGAATTCCCTCATATGTTGTTTACTTGTTATTCTATACTAGTACTGATCTTTGTTCAGTGGATCAGAGTTTTGAGGCTGTGTTTGGTTCGAAGAAAAACACTCTGAATGAAACTATATTTTCTTAAGAATAGATTCCTACATAAATCAACTAGACCTGTGTTTTTTACCTGAAACTTTTAGTGTACTTGTTTCATTGGATAGCTTACTAGTTTTGTGCTAAAAAAATGATCTCCAGGAGGCAAAATCAGGGGAGGTAAAAATGTGCTCAGGTCGTTGTAAAGCTATAGTAAGGAGGATTATGGAACAGGTAAAGGCTGAGACAGAACAATGGTCTCAGATGCAAGAAATGCTAGGGAAAGTAAGGGAAGAGATGGAAGAAGTGCAGGCTTCTCGCAATTTCTGGGAAGAGCAAGCACTTGAATCTGAGCACAAAATCCACAAACTAGATTCTGAGGTAAGGCTTTTAACCAATGTTCATCTTCTCCAAAGTCCTTCAGTTTTGACAAGGATAACTTAAAAAGACAGTCTGATCTAATAATCTAATATTGCCTGTTATGTAGGATGAAAAGAGCATAGTTTAGATGTATGCTGACATGCTGTTGCATTCTTTGGATATAGATTAGTGCTGATGAATTTGAAATGCTTATGATTAGGTTGAAGAATGGAAACAGAAGACAGTTTCTCTTGAGAAGAAGGAAAATCAGCTGCAAAAACAGGTACAAGAACTGCAGCAGGAGCTTGAAAAATTCAAGGTTGAAAAAAGATGTGAGTATGATGTGAAAGCGAGTAAAGATATAGCACCAGTATCACTTGGAGCTCAGCTTGCAAGAGAAAAGCGAATGCTAATGTGTCGTGTTAAAGGAAGCAATCAAACAAATGAAAATGCTGAGAACAAAGAGATTGATTTCAGTGACGCAAAGAAAACAGAGCAGAAAACTAGTAGCAGACTAGGATCGTTGAATCGACATCCATTCAAGGAAATAAGTAATTTGTCATCACCTCTTGTGAGGCAGAACAGTAGAAGATATGTATACCCTTTGCATAGTCCTAACTCCTAACTCCTAAAAATTTCTCAGGTAGACCTTTGAGAATGTTACTAATGAGGCTTAGAAATAAAGTCTTTTTTCTCATGATAAAAAGAGTGAAGTTTGGTCATTTGAATGTGATCAATTTTGTCTAGACTGTCAACAATGGCTTAGGAATAAGCTTTAGGCCTATTTATGGCAATTTAAGTACGAAACACCAAAATTATTGCATTACATGATCAAGAATGAAAATACGCAAATTTTATCACTAATAAATCCATATAAATTGTCCACTTTATTATTAAGGATTGAGAACATAATATGTTATACAGAGTAGTATTTATAAAACATGAGACGACCCCATTAATCACCTTGATAATTGGTGTTGGCTTATTGGGTAAGGACAACCTTTGTGATGGAGAAATATTTGCCTCTTTTATTCAAATTGGGCTCGATCTAGGCCCAATTCAAAATCCTTTTTTCAAGGGGGTGATTTTAGGCTCAAAAGCCCAAATTTACATGGCCTAATTACACATTAAAAACAAAAACAAAACAAAACAAAAAAAAAAAAAACCAATATGGACATCAGATTTTGGATTTGTGCAGTTCAATCTCTCGGCTTGCAATTACACATTTAAGTCAACATGATTCTTCAAAGTGAAGTACTAACTCCATTCCAGGAAAAAAAAAAATTGTATATTGAAGAGGTAGCAGACTCGCAGTTATGAGAACAGGATTACCCATACTTCTTTATCGGTAATCTAAGGTGGAGCAACTATAACTAGATCAACCTTTACAATAAAAGCGGTCTTTCAATTAATGATGCATATATATATAGAAGTAAGAGAGTGCACAAAATTTGGCAGATATACCTGCACTTGTAAACAGCTTTGGTTGTCCTCAGGCAAATCCATGATTCACAGCAGAAAAAGCAACGGATCAAGGTCTAATTAGCAGTTGAAATGCTGAATCTTCATTGGCCGATAGGAACAGTTTGAAGTAGGCATTTGACATTATTAAGGCGATCATTCATTTCCTCATTAGTTGCATCGATCACCCTCAGCTCCTTCATCTCTTCCTGCCATTTCTCAATCTGCTCCTTGTGGATCCTATAACAACCAATATATTAGGGGAACAATGTAAGCTTCCCATCTGTATGTAATCAAGTAATATTCGCATTTAATAGCTTACATGAGAACTCGCTCTTCATAATCCTGGCTTAGCTTGTTGAACAGTGACTTTCCAGATTCCAGCATCTCAGAAACCTGAAAGAATTGTCAAATTATTTACTTCTGATTTTCTGAATACTTGAACAGTGAACTTGGGCACTATAACTCTACAAATGCAAGGGATGCATAACATTATTCTAGCATGATTACCAGTTGATTATATGCCTCAACTTTCTCATGAAGGCGAGCAATGCCAAGCCTCATTTCTTCTGATCCAGAGAAGTTCATCTCACTCTCTTCTTCCCCATTTTCTTCATTTAATTCACCTCTGTCCTCACTTCTTTCATGCTCCATCTAGCGAAAGTTGATGAGATATTAGCTGAATGTAAAGAATTAATCTAACAGCTAACAAAATTGTATTACTTATTAATCTTCTACTGCATACATCATTTATCTTGCGCTTTCTGGCTATTTGGGTGTCTTGCTCTTCCATGTTGATTACTATTCTGCATCCACATGTACAGAATTAATTATAAGAGAGCCCAATTTTCAGGCACAAATCAGGCAAGTCTTCGAGCAGGACGCTATAAGAGCAAGAACAAAAGAAACCAGTGTACAACATGTTAAGGTCGAAACTAAGTTACTAACACATGAACATATAGTATCATGCTAGATTGCTGGTTCAAGACATCAGACAGCATAAAGCATGGAGGCCACAAAATAAGACCATTTATTGCCTGATAAAGATTTCAGAACAGATTTCTATGAAGGAAACAGTTGCTGTCCACGTAAAACCCGAAGATAAAAGGTAATCAATAATCATGTTTGGTTGATCAACCTCTCGAACATGCCATTTTCATACATGCGCACAAGAGCTGTTATGGAACATGCACAGCACAGCCGCACACTGACACCAGGTAATGATCATGAATGCAGAGAAGTCCTAATATCAATTAACAGCCAACCATACAAGTATATTGTAAAGACACTTAATAGTTAATACTCGCACAAAAGATTAATTACCCTAAAAATTGTCAATAACATTACTGGCACATTTTTTTTGCTGTTTTGCATTCAATAATTTGTTATTGCACAAGGACAACAATCAAATTCATTCTACACCATAATTTAGAGTTCAAATTTCAGATGAGCACGAAACACGAGTAAAACGGTCTTCTCGAACTTGATCTCCATTTTAGACAATAAACGCATTTGTATAAGAAACAGGTTTTCTTGAATTAACACTGAATTCAAAAAGGAATCAAAGCAATTAGGTCACATAAGCAAGCGATGAAAATTTCAGTACCAAAGATCGCCATTAACAATTCCTTCATTAAGTGAAAACTAAATTCCTTCCATCAACTATCATCGTATCATGCTAGCTAATGATTTTTATAAATAAAAATATATGGCATAAATTTCGCACCAAACATTTAAAAATTTGAGCTCAACTAGGAATTTATCGCCAAACTTTTGACACTTAATGAAATTACCAAATTAAATCAAGCATTTCATGATAACTGCAATCGATTTCATACTTTGATTATGAGCAACAATCACAAACAAGCTGAAGTGAAAATCATGAACCTAAATCAGTTGAACATCGATTTGAAGACGTATCCAAAACCACAATTTAGCAATTCGACAAATAGAGCAAAAATAATAATCAAATATTCTATCAAACTAGGTTTTCCTTTAATTGATAATTTAACATGATCAAATAGATAATTCAAAACAATAACCTAAAATCCAGATATTCGAGAGTTTAAATTGCTTGAGTAAGTATGAATTTACCTTCAATTGCACTGAATTGAGCCTTAGAATTCAACAGCTGCAGAAAAATGCATCAGAAAATCGAGATTAGCGAAATCATGTATTAGAAATGGCGAATTTAGGGGATGATAATAGAGAAATTGTAGAGAGAGAACCTGTTGTTTGCTGATGTTGGGAGCGCGAAATTTGAATCAGAGAAAGTAGCAGTGTTGGTTTCGGGAATTTGAGGTTTATATGGGTTGGACGCCTTGCCTTATAAGGCTCAAGGTTATCATCAAACCAAAGCCAAAGGTCCAAATAGACCCACAACCGCACTCATATAGTCATATGGTTCGTTTTTCTGAGGGTTAAAGTCGTGATAGGTGGAACCCAAAAAATATGACGTAAAATTATAGGTTCGTTAATATGATGTGTTGTACAGGACTAAAGGCAATTTAATGAGGCATTAGACTTCCTTGCTATGTCATTTGCTAGTGGCATGATTTTACTAAGCTCGACATAACATGGTGATTAAGGACACAATATACTTGCCACTATTAGGAACTTAGCGTACACTCATTATTTAGACTATATACACAGTGACATCATATAGCATACTCCATAATTAAAATAATGTGAACTACAACCATCTAATCTGTTGTAATGACCATGCTTACTTTTTATTACTGGGATGATTGAAGCATTATGGTAAATTAGGAACTATGTTTCTTCTTTAAATCTCCATTATGATACCTACAAACAAAATCAAGGTGAGTTATACATCTTAGAAATAGCTTATTTCCAATTAACTCTTTGATTGCGGTTTGGCCATCTTATTTGTTGTTTTTGCTACTTGAGATAACTTCATGTGAACTTGCTTGGGATTAAATGGTGATGAGAAGGAATCACTACATGACCTGCATAGAGATACAGTATGATGTGTTTCACATCTTAGTGCTATCTCATTGTTTTCGAATAGGATATCTCAATATCACTCCGCTTAGAACCCTTTTTGACCTGCTTATTTCCATGAGGTGTTAGTGATGACACTAGCCCACTCACTATGTTGCTTTTGGTCAATTATGACTGGTCAAATTTAGTCACAGATTGCGTTGCCATTTAAAATCCAACATAACTACATGTATTTCATGCTCAACAACCATAGTGTTCCATATAACACATTTCGAGCATATAATTTGAACATTTAAACACGATAGCATATATGACTATTATGTTACCGGAACTATCAAGTAATAACCCCGACCCAAGAACAACCCAATCAAATCCAAAACTAAATAAACAGAATGCAATTTAAATCAGTGCAGTGATATAAAATAACTTATACTCCGTATCCAAAATGGCTTGACCTAACCCGACTATTCTAGATCAAACTCAACCCCCCCCCCACACGTTAACTTAAAAAAAAAGGTACTCTCCTCTTCCCTCGCACTAGAGATGGCAATGGATCGGATTCGGATCGGGTGGAGCTTCACCCGCATCCATCCATTACTCTAATCGCTCCATCCACATCCATCCATCATCCGCTTCACCCATCATCTTATCCATCCGTCCATCATCCGCGGATGAAACGGGTGGAGCGGATGACTAATGGATGAGTATTAAAGTTGAAAAAAACTCACATAACTTTAATTTTCGGTTATTTGTACAATAGTTTTATTAATTTTATTAATTAAAAAGGAAACAATAACAATATATTGTTTGAAAAATTAATTTGCAACAAAAAAATACATATAATTTTCTTGCACATTTCAGATTTTATTATTAAAATTCTTAGATTAAAAAATTAATATATGTTAAACGGGTGGGTGGATGATTAGCGGGTGAAAAAAGTATCATCCATATCCGATCTAATCCATCATCCGCTTCATCCGTCACCCGCTTTTCATCCATTTAATTCGGGTTTTCATCCATTTATTTATTGCGGGTGGAGCGGGTTAGTGGATATCCACTTAATATTGACATCCCTACCTCGCACCCTCCTATCTCTTTCAACATTCGTCAATAGTCAACGACTCTGCATAAAAGTAAAGTAACCCCTCACCCACTATACGCATTTATCAGTCTAATTCCTCCATACTCCACGTGTCAACATCACATGCGTTTTTCACACGTACCACTCCCTGATAATTTTTCTATCTTACGTCTACTCACGTGCACCACACACCAGTTTTCAAACCCTCACCACTTGGCGTTGACTGTTGTAACTCTCTTTTCTTCTTCGCTAATCTCACCTCCTGTCACCTTTTCTGCGTCACCGATTCCTTCCTATTGGCTCAAATTATGGTCCCCCACTAAGCTGTGACTCTTTTTCACAGAGATTGATTCAACCAAACCTTCTCTTCTTCCCATGTTTTCCCCATTTTCTCTCGAATGGATTGCAGTCGCCCAGATTTGTAGTCGGTAATTTTTTCCGCTTAATTCATTTTTTTTTTTTTTATAATTACTAAGCTCTTATTTCTGTAAATTATCTGTTAATTTTTCAGAAATTAAGGTGTTATAGATTTAGAAAAGAGGGGAATACAAATCGAGGGTTTATAATTTTATATGTCAAATTTATACTATTGATTATATTTTGTGGGGGTTGTTCACTTGTTGTACTTCTTTAATCATCAATATCTTTAATTCCGTGTTATTGGGTTTTTTTAGAAAGTTATTGTTTGTATAAATTGAGACGAGTCTAAAAAGATCTCACACGGGTATGTAATTTGTTGCATGTTGGTTAGAATTCGTGGCCAATGCTAGTAGAGAGTATGATGAGCTTAGAGTGTGGATTGAGGAGTTTCCTCCTAGTGTAGCTGCTGCCATTGCTTTTGATGTACCTTAATTTTTCTATTAAAAAAAAATTAACTGATATAATTGTGTTTGGGTACATTATTTGGAAACGGAGGCAGTATGTGTAATTAGAAATAAAGGGTTAGATAATGAAGAGGTTAAGATCGTATGGTGATGATTTGGGGTCGGTTGGGGAGAAGGAGGTTGACCGAACGACACTGGGATGGTCATCGCATCATCGGAGATATTACTCTAAAGGGACAGAAAATGGTTGGAGTAGACCGTCTCCGGTGATTGATGATGATAGAGAGCGAGAGGGGTCAATGTCGAGGTGGGTTAGTTTGAGGAAGAGGGTGGATCATGATTTCGATGGGTTTGATGAGTGGGAGGGTTCAAGAGGGTTTAGGAAGAGAGGGGAGCATGAGTTTTCTGGGGGTTTTGAAGAGAGGGAGGGATTTAGAGGGGTGAGGAAGAGATTGGAGCATGAGAATGATGGATTTGATAGGAGAAAAGGGTTTGATAGGTATAGGGATCGAGATGGGATGGTGGGTTCATCGATGGTGTCTCCACGAGGTAGTGGGTATGTGCCGGAGAGGGATAGGGAGAGAGATATAGATAGAGATAGAGATAGGGATAGGGATAGGGAAAAGGAGAGGATTCATCGGTCCGAGAGCTTTTGTGTTTCGAGGAGGGATCATCCGAAAGGGTTTAGGTCGGCGAGGCATTGGTCAAGGAGGGAGGATGGGGGTTCGTCTTCCTGGAGGAGGTTTGATAGTAGGGGCAAGAAGGATGTTGAGGAAGATGTTAAGAGTTCACCGGTTGAAAAGGGTGGGAGCAGTAGTAGTAAAGGTGGGAGAGCGGATAGTGGTGGTGTTAGCAGTAGCAAAGAGAATATGAGGTATCCTCGAGGAATTAAAGATGTCAAGTCACCCACCTGGTCCAAAGATTCAATGAAAGATTCAAAGAAGTCAATCGGCGATGAGCCCTTGAAGAACACCAAGAAGAAAGAGAGTATGGTAGCAGATAGTGGTGGATTTGCTAGTGCCATTGGAAGTGGAACTGAGATGGAGGAAGGAGAGCTTCAACCAGAATCGAATCAGATTCAAGCACCGGAAGATTACGTTGTTTCTGAGCCAAAGGTGGAAAATGTCAATCAACATGCTAAGGATCCTCAAGTAGACAGAGATGTTGGGAATAAGCTACATGAGCTTGAAATTAGTGAAGTGGTCAAGTTCAGAGTTGCTGATTCAGTTGTCACTGACAGAAATTTGGCTCTAGTAGACGAACAAGCATCAGGTGTAGGCGCTGCTGACAGGAAACAGATGACTGGTAAAAAATTAGCAATCAACGAGACCGTGGAAGGATTAGAAATGTGCTCAACTATCCAAAATGATTATGTGAATAAGGTTTCTGTTTCTGAAGAAACTAAACCTACAGTGTGTACAGGTATTGTTCTTGCTAATGATGAAAGATTGAGAGAAAATCAATTTGAGCTGTCTGCCCCTGGAAACAGCAGCCTTGATAGTCAGGTAAATGTGGAAGATCATAATTCTAGAAGTGTGGAAAAGCCATCACCGGTGAATAAGAATTCGAAAAATAATTTTAACCTCGATTTTGGTTTGGGTGAGTCAAATAAAGCAATTGTAGAAGTTCCTAAAGAGCCCAAACCATCTGTCCCTGTCCTGAAAGACAAAGGGAAAGGTGTGGCTGTCAGCTCTTCTTGTGAGGATAGTCTTAGAGAAAATAGTTTGCTGGTCGAAAGGAATTTCATTGCTTGCCAAGATGATGCCATGGAAGGCCCTAGTGTGAGAGGCTTTGAGCTCCTTTCTAGCTCTGCTGGAGTCAAAGTGATGTGTGTCAACAGTAATGGATCTAAATCTGAAGCTGAGAAGCTAAAGTTGGAACCTCTAGATCTCTCTCTTGGCCTGCCTAATGTTTCAGTTCCTGCTACTTCCCACAGTGCTGCTGCACCCCCAATCTCCCCTCCACGTGCAAGGAGTGTTCAATCATTTGGCACCACTCTCAGAACTGGTTCAGATTGTTTCACGACATCAATTTCATTCTCTGGGTTGCAGTTCATTCATAATCCGAGTTGTTCACTGACTCATAATTCAGTTGATTATGACTTTGAGCAATCTGTCAAAAGTCGTCCTTTATTTCAAGGTGTTAATTGGCAGGCATTAAGTGCTAATGATTCTCTGCCTAAGGAAATACTTGTGAATTCTAAATCAGTTTCAAACGGTCATGTTAACGGGTCTCTACATTTTACGAAGTCATCCCAAGGCATTTTGAATGGTCGAGCTATACAACAACAAGCAGTGCCTGTTCGAGTGGATCGTTCTGACAGTCTTCAGAAACAGCCCTCTGGAAAGATACGATATCAAGACGATTTTAGGTCTCCTGCTCAGAGTGCTGGATCTCATGATAATAGATCGGAATTTGGGAAAAGTGAGAGGCGGGTGACCAGGGAAGAAAGTGTAGGAAGGCTCTTCAGGAGCAGCAGTCAAAGAGAGATGGAACAGGGACTTGCTGGAGAAAGAGATCTTGTGGAGAGGCTAATTTATTTAATTGCTTCAGAACACATCCAAACCATGGCTCAGAGGCTTAATGAAATGCCAGAGCGTTTAATTGCTTTCTTGAAGGACAGTGTATGTGAAGTTATTTTGAAAGAAGACAATCATAGAAAGCTACGTGTCCTTCAGGATGTGCTGCGAAAAAGGCCTGATCTTAATTTGGAGACTCTGTTAAAGTGTCATCGTGTTCAGTTGCAGACTTTGGTGGCTCTTAAGACTGGTCTTCCAGATTTTATCCAGCGAACTGACAGTATTTCTTCTAGTGATCTGGCAGAGATATTTCTGAGTCTGAAGTGTAGAAATGTTAATTGTCGTAGTGCATTGCCTGTGGATGAGTGTGATTGTAAATTTTGCTCCAAGAAAGATGGTTATTGTAGTTCTTGTATGTGTCTTGTTTGTTCCAAGTTTGATACTGCCTCCAACACATGTGGTTGGGTTGGGTGTGATGTTTGCAACCATTGGTGCCATACTGATTGTGGTTCGCTGAAATCTTATATTAGAAATGGTCGAAGTACGGTTGGGGCTCAGGGGGTATCTGAAATGCAATTTTATTGTCTTGCCTGTGATCATCCATCTGAAATGTTTGGCTTCGTGAAGGATGTTTTCAAAACTTGTGCTACCGAATGGAAAGCTGAGACATTTCTCAGGGAACTTGAGTATGTGAGGAGGATATTTAGTGCGAGCAATGATTACAGAGGAAAAGTATTGCATGATGCTGCTAAGCAGCTGATTGGTAGGTTGCAAAGTGGGGCCAAAACTGTGGAGATCTGTAATCAAATAATGGCGTTCCTAAATGGTAAGTCATACAAAAAAATTTCCTCTCAACAGATTGTTATTTAGGATTAATTGTTTGCTGCATGGTTTCCTTATAACTTTTGTTTCTCTACTCATCATAAATTGAGGATGTTATTATCTGTTTATAATTGTAGAATGGAAACCAATACTAAAATATTTCTTTTTCTAATAATATAAACTAGAAACTTTAGGTGATTTACTTTCATGTAGTTACTACTTTGCTATAATTATACAAGGACTTGAATGGATAAAGAGTAGTATATTTTGTGATTGCTGTAGCAGATGTCTTGGCCTAGTCATGAAATGTCATCGGCTGTAATTCACTCAACTCAGTTCACAAGGTCTCTTTGATGTGGTTTGTATGATTTATCTTCTTAAGACAATAGTTTTCTTGTCTGATGACCTTATTTCAGTTCAAAAAGGGATGCATTTGAACAATGTCTCTGCAGGCATTGGTTCTCCGGAGACATTGTGTTCCCAAACATCCATGTAGACATAGTATTTGTCTCATTTAAGAAACAAAGTGAATTTTGCACAGAGCGCCTTTACTCTTATCACTTTATAGATTTTGTCATCTGATTGATCTGAGGTTTGCAGAGTGGCTAAGCCTCATCTGCCACAGGCTTGTCATGGTAAAAATACTTTGGCACAAGATTTTTTTGTAGATGATATCCAACTCCAGTTTGATTACTTCTCTTAGTTGCTTGTTAATATTTGAACTCTTCACACAGTCATTAGAACTTCTTGGCTATAAGGATGGTGTTTTTGGGCAGCTCTATAATTCTCTTGGTGCATTTTTTTTTGGTGGTCATATGAATATTTAACTACTCGTTGCTTGCAGTCTTGTCATGTCTGCAAAGTATTCTAATGCTAATATTCCTTATATTTTGTTGCGGGTTTGGGGTGGGGGGAAGGGAGAAGATTTTAGTAAACTTTCTATTGCCCTCTCATAAAAGTATTAATTTATGCTTTTAATCATAGGCGAGGGTGAATTAGAAAGAGAGATTCATTTATGTGTGTAGTAGCTACTACTGGCCTGTTGCTGTTTTTGTTGAGAAAATTTGTGTTGCTATCTTTTTAACTCTAAAATGTAGAATGCGATGGATCAGATGACCACTTGTCTGTCTTGCTACTATAAATTTCTCAGTAATCTAACCATGAGATAAATATATTTGTATTTGTTGGCATTGTATCATACTACTTCACTATTCACAGCACAACCTGTTTCTGTTGAGAAATATTCTACGTAGTATTATCTTTCTGACTTTAAAATGCAGAATGTGATGAATAAGATGAAGCACATTTCTGTCTCGCACTCTCGCTACTATCACATTCTCAGTAATTTAACCATGAGATGATTATACTTTTGTTGGCATTGTATCATACCACTTATAGAGCACACTTCGCAGCACCACCTGTTCTTAATTCTTATGTTAGGCATAGTATTTATTTTCTGCAGCTTCATTTTATGTATTAAGGGAATAATACAAACCATTTGATTGCTGGCCTATTCCATTTGCTTTTCTGTCTTTTTTTGGTTTTCACTTTTGCAATGTTCATTTTTATCCTGATGGCCTGACACTTGAGTGTGTCCGGTATTGCAGAGGGTGATGCTAAGCTTGCCAATGCAGTAGGATCTTCTGGAAGAGATCAAGTCCAACCTAAGCCTCTTGAGAATAACGTCCAAGATGGGGCAAATGTACTCGGTCATGAACCTATTTGGTCAAAATCCAATTCTGCCAAGGAATTCTCCCAAATGCAAAATATTGGAAATACCCTTCCAAGTATTGAAGGGAGATCAGTTGGTGGTGGTTCGTTGAGTACTGAGATGCTGATGGGCATGAGCTCCAAGACTGGAGATGAGCTAGATATTGTTAAGCTTAAGCTAGCAGAAGCTCAGTTATTCCAAAAACGCGCTGATGCTGCTCGTGCAGAGGCTGAAGGCCTTCAACGCATAGCGATCGCCAAGAATGAAAAAGCGGAAGAAGAGTATATGAGCAGGATTGCAAAATTGCGCCTGTCAGAGGTAGAGGAGAGGCGCAGGCTTAAGCATGAAGAACTGCAAATGCTGGAAAGAAGTCATCGTGAATACTTTCACATGAAAACTAGGATGGAAACCGACATCAAGGATTTATTGATTAAAATGGAAGCAACAAGACGGAATCTCAGTACCTAATATACTTTCTAAAGATGATTGTTATGTAGATAATTACCAAGGCAGCTTAGTTTTTGTCGATGTTGCCTCACACCTGTATTCATAAACCACGAGCACTGATATTGGCAGATAGTGATGGTAGTATAGAGGTGTATGTATTTTTCAATTGGCTTACTGATCTCAGTTAATTATAAATTTAAGGTTGAGATCTTTAAGAGCCTTGTTCCGTAGAAACTGGCTTACTAATCTCAGTTAATTATTAACTAGAGCATGTACAGAAATAGCTTCTAGCTTCACCCTCCTGTCACAAACTGTTGGCAACTATTAATCTCTACTGAAGGAGTTCTCTCTTTCCAATGTATTGCATCTGTCACAAATATTTGGCATATAATTGACTTTTGTATACTTCCTATAACATAAGCTAGTAAGCTACAATATTGTTATTCGAACTACATGATTCACAGTGATTGATTTTACTTACAAAATAAGTATACTTTGATTTGGGTTATACAAGTACTGATTTGAAAATGCCTTGTGTTTGTACAATGTTAAAGTTAACAAGGAGGAAAAGATTTATACAAGTAGTATCCTTTATTTCCAAAAAATTTAGTTTTGCCATGTATAATTATTTATTTTCCAAATTAAACAACTGTTACACCAAACTTAATACAAGTATATATATATATAAACACAATGCTCTGTAGCTAGAAAAACAGGTTAGAAGTCGGGTTCGTGTATCTTCTCATGTTAATTTTGGGTTGTTTTCTAAACATATAAAAAAAAAGTGTGTAAAAATTAATATAATTGTATAATATGACAATTTTTTATTTTTATTTTTGGCGAGAACAAAATAATCTATTTGTTTGGTTTAATATTATTTCGTGTACATATCATGTCGTATTTGAAATTCTAATGTAACTTTGAGTCGGGTTCTTGTCGTGTTTGGGATCGCCAGGCCTAGCACTATCATTGATCCATTATAGCCCAAAATTGACCTTTATCATGAGAAGTGAGAAGCCCAGTAACGCGCTCTTGTTCATCGCACGGTAGCACCTGAACCCCCCTTTCTCCCTCTCTCTCTAGAAAGTTGCCCTACCTTACTTCTCTCTCTTCGGTAAGTTTCTCTCTCCTCTAAATTCATCAATTTCCCTTTCAATTCGATTTTTCAGATGATTGAATTCATAATCTGCGTTTAATTTCGAGCTGAATCGCCTCTCAATTTCTTCACAATTTTTTTTCAGATCGATCTAAAATTTAATTTCTCTAATTTTCGACGCATTTTTTCCAGCTTTGAAGGTCAACAATGGCGGGTAAATACATCGTCGGCTCACTCGTTGGATCCTTTTTCGTTGCTTATGCTTGCGATTACATAATGTCTGATCAGAAGATTTTCGGAGGTAAAATTTCTCAAAAAATTCACAAATTTATTTCCAGTTTTTATTGAATTAATTAATTTTTTTCGATCCAGAGAAAATTGCATAAAATTAATTCGAAATTTGAATATTGTAGGAAGTACGCCATCAACTGTATCAAACAAAGAATGGTTCCAGGAAACTGACAAAAGAATGCAGGCATGGCCTCGTACTGCTGGACCTCCAGTGGTGATGAACCCTATCAGTCGTCAGAACTTCATCATCAAGACTACTGAATCTTGAAGGTTCTTAGTTTCATGATTTGATTTACGTTTTTTTTTGTCGATTGTTATTATCTTTAATTGGAACAACAACAGGATGAAAATTGTATTGATGTTTTGATTAGTAGAGTGGAACTCGTTCTAATGGATTTGAAAATAATAATGTTATGAAACCAAACATGTTCTTACTTAAGAGATTCTATTGCCTTTGTTTTCTGCCGGTTTTCGGAAGTGGATTTGTTGTTAATATGGCGATTGTTTTTGTTATCTGTGTGAAATTTGGTTGTTATGCTGGAAATTTGAGTCTGTTGTTTGATTGGATGTTCGATTGTTGTGAATCAGTGAATGGAAAGTAGGGTGAATAGAATTTGTGTTTTGTGAAATGGTGTATTCTTGTAGGTGGTGATGATTTGTATGTGGCAGCTGTTGACGTTTATGTGAATTTTGCTGGTTGGTTTGAAGTTTTGTTGTTTGATTGGAGTTGAATGGAATCGTAGGTGAATTCTGTATGCAGTGTCATGTCGAATGGTGGTTTTCTTGTAATTTATATGTTGCTAGTATTTTGGAAGCTGGAATGAATGAATGCTAGGATGAGTTATATTTGAAGTTGGATGTGATTCTGTGTTTGGGTTTTGGATTATTTGCTATCACTTGTATGGAAATATGGAAAGGTGTGGTGAGTTTTTGGACAGTTTTATTATGTGTTTGGAACCCTATTAGTATTAGTCATCCGAGCTTCATTTCAAGTCGATGGAATTAGAAGGTTCTTCTTTGTTTTATGTTATTCTCTTTTTTTGATTGCTATCATAAGTGAACAAAAAGGTACCAAGTAGGAATATGTATTGATGTTTTGGTGGGTAGCATGGTTTTCTCTCTATTAGATATGAATTAACAATGTAATGAAACATGTTTTCTATGTTTATGTGAATCTTGGTTGTTAGTTTGAAATTTATTTTGTTGATTGATAAAAATTGAGTTAAAGCTAGGATTATCTTTGTTTAGGGCCATGTGGTATGGTGATCTTCTAGCAAATTTTACTTAGTATATCAGTACCGTTGGTGTTTCTATGTGAATCTTGGTAGTTTGCTTGAAATTTGATTATGTTGTTTGACTTGAAGTTTAAGTGGAATTGTGGAAATGAATGGATGCCTTGATGAGTTGCATATGAGTCGGGCTGTGACATTGTGTTTGGTTTTTGGATTATTTGAAATGTCCCTGATCAAATGATAATAGAAGTTGTGTCTGTTGAACATCTTATCATCCTTGTGTACTGTGTTAATATGGTTATCTTCTTCGTCGCAATGAGTTTCTGAATATAAATTGTGCCTGTGGACGTATCAGAAAGTCTGCATCATACCTTAGATGATCTAAACAATAGAAATGTGAGTTTTATGCTTTTGATATTTGATAGAAAGCCATGAGATTTGGCGAAGTAGAGGAGAGTTTATTGGCAGACTGAGATAAGGGCAAGCTAAGTATGAGTGTATAATGTGTTTGGATAGGAAGATTTGGAGGGAAAGTGAGGGATACAATTTCCCTTGTTAAAATAAGAATAGGGCAAGAGAAGAGAAATGGATGGGTGGGATCGATTTTCCTTTTCCTTTTATGAACCAAATCCTCCCTCCCTACCCTTTAATAATCAAAATTCTTCTATGTTAAAGAAATTTAAAAGGGAAAAAAAAAGTCACTCCTTCGCTTCCCTCCCCTCACTTCCTTCCCTTTATCTTCCATCCTTTTCCTTCCCCTCTCTTTCTCTTACCCAAACATAGTTGGCATAGGATATCACCTACGAGTTGAAATTTCACGCAACCATTTTAACAGTACCTATGTAACTCCATTAGTTGCATATAACTAGATCATTTTAACCTTTTGCATTAATTTTATATCAATTTTGATTGTGTCTTCTTACTAATTTGCATAGACAAATGTTATTATATGAATGCTGTTATGCAATGAAAAATGTTGAATTGGTTTTATTTCCAAGTTCAAGTTATAATCTTTTTAAAATTTACTAATAAATAATTAAAGACTGAAAAAAAGGTGCAACTTATTTAAAAATAGAGGAAATAGTTATATAGAAAAAGCTAACGAGCGCCCATAGTTAAGAGAAAAAGGAGGGGAAGGTAGGGAAGGGAAAGGGAAGTGATGGAGGGAGGAGGAGACCTTCCATTTTCCTTCCTAAAATTTCCAACAATGGAGGGCCCTTTATTAAAAGGGGAAAGAAAATGGATCTTTCCAATTTCCTCCTCTTCCCTCCTTGCATTAGATAACCAAATAAAAAATGATGCATATCCCTTATTAAGTATTCTCTTCTCTTCCTTCCCTCCATTTCTTTCTATCCAAACATAATGAAGCTACAAAGTCGGGGTTTCATTTTATAGTTAGTTTTAAAATGGGCTTAAAGAAATATTATTTCCATTTTCCAACTTGCTGACGTAAAGTTGCACAAGCCCTGGATACATCTTCCCTCCAAAGCCTTTGAAAAAAAGGGACCTAAACCCTGATAATACTCCATTGGATGCCATTGTACAACCTAAATTGTGATTGGAGGCAACAATCTTTTTAAAGGTAAAAGATAAGGGTAAGAAACCCACTTGTCATGCATCTTTATTAGTAGACACATGTTATGCATTGACCGTTTCTGTTGATTTGTACTTAAGAATCAACATAGTTATGTGGATCTAATTAGATGTGTTATATAACATGCTCTGTACTTTTTAAATATCAATATTTTTTTTATCTTTAACTTCTTGATGTTTAGTATTATTATGGTTAAAGCTAAACATTAACAAATGTTAAAGTATAAAGGTTGTAACTAGAAAGGAGAAATTATCTCCCAACTTAAATGTTACAGTCTTGGGATGGCCCATTTGCTATGACTTATGAGGTCTTCCCTCATTATATTCCTAACTTGTCACATGGGCCATGACCATTATAAAAGTAACCATTACTTAGCTTTCCTCTTACAATCCTTCCAATTTGCATAGCTCCATTCTAATCACAACCCTCTTTCTCTCCCTTCTTCTTCTACTTTTCATTACACCATCTCTTTTATGGGGAAATTTTTTGTTAGAAGACTTGTAGGCTGCTTTTGGTGTGATGCCTGTTGGCAAGGGTATACACTATATGGTTGATTTGTTGAGTATCATGTTACATACCTTCCTTGGGATGGGGGGTCTTGGGAATTTAACTTTGAGCTATCTTATATATGGGACATCATAACTTCTGATAGAACCTAATGTGGTTCACTCGGAGGTTAGCTGGTTTTCCTATGTAGTTTTGGATGGCTCAAGGGTACATATTAAATTTTTTTTTTATTTTAAGTGATGGGATACAAGATGCAAAATGCATGACTTGATGCAATATATTCTTAAAAGTATATTGCAAAATGCACGATTTAGTGCATGATCTTGTAATTCCATCACATGAAATGCACTATTTAGTGTAAGATATGCTGGTGTATGCAGTGTAAAATGCATGATTTGATTCAATACCTTCAAATTTATAGCATGAAATACACGATTCAAGCATATGTAAAATTTATGTTCTCATATAAGGTCATCTTCTTATTATTAGGACGTGTAACGTGTGTGATCTGATCTAATCCAAGAGATTTTATGTTCATTGATATTTTTCATTATGAGATTATTGTTAAATGTAAATGTAATCTGATTGTTGTACGGAAATTTGTATTTTTAATCAAATAATCACACTTTGATTATTTAAGTCTTCTGGTGTTGTTTAAAAGTCATGAATGCATGATCTGTGGCTGGATATAAATTTGCTCCAAGGGATATGTAATTCAGTTCTTTTACTTGGGAGTGGTATATCTGCCGTTCTTGATTAAACCCTTGGCTAAAAGCAACCTGTGAAGCTAGCCATAAGCCAATATATCAATAATACAACTCCCACTTGTTAATTGCTATACTCTATGTCCGACATTGACACGTGTAAAGTGACTGGCTAAATCAATAATGCCACACATTACATGAAATTACTAGAGTGCTACACAATGTGTTGTGTGGTGTGGTGTGGTGTGGTGAGAAATATGTGGCTAAAGTTTCACATGCATTGCAATCACCACTGTAAAGTATTGGACCCATTCCAATTGAGAGGGACTAATGCCTTGTGCTTTTATTTCAAAATATTCTTGGTTTATAAGTTTATAATTGTAGGGAGTACGTTGTAACATGAGCCTATTTGAGGGCCAATTTTGGAATTTAATTTTCGTTGAACATAATTTTTCATATTTTTTACATATTTAAAACCAATATATGTATACACTTCACGTATATATTACATGATGATGGAGATTGAATCAGTATTGAGTATCGACTCCTTAGCGATATTATTTATAACCCTTATTGTTATCACAAAAATTTAAGACATAATAGCGACTTTGTTTAAAGGGATAAGGGGTTTGGATACCAAATACTATTCTAAAAACTGAACATGTTTCTTACTTTTATTTGTGGGATTGAAATGAGGATTAAAGTCCAATTTATCAAACCAAAGTAAAGGTGTAGACGTAGACCAATTTGTGTGGACTATGATTCTATGAACAAGAGTTTATACCACTAGATTCAATTATGTACCAAAAGAACACATTTGTCTATTATTAAAAAGTCATGTCTTGATAAAATAACATGAGATTTTCGAAGCTTTAAATTTTGTTTCCTTCGTAGTATGATCGATTAGAAATGAAATACATATTTTAAACATAACTCGTGTTCTATTATTATAATTTTATGTTATTAAATCGAATCATTTGTGTTCTTTTTGGGTGCACACACAATGCAATCATGTCAAAAATGACTATACCTACTCTAGAGTTATGTATGTTACTAAATCAGGTCAATAAGGCAGGTGAAGAATCCAAAACAATGGGATGAAAAGTCTAATAGTGTGAAGAAGAAGATATCCAAAAACATGAATAGTGTATATACACGTGTAATTGGGTAGTAGTGGGCAACCAACTGAAACCCTAGCTGAACATGAAGTGGAGTATATATTAATCTCCTCAAACTGCAGCCGCAACATTCCATTTCATTTTTGGGAGTAATTCATGAGAGTCATCTTTGTTGATCAGTTTCTTAAATGCTTTGTTATTTTGTTTGAATCTTTCCATTTGGTATGAGGGATCTTGGGAATGCGGCCACTGGGTTGTTGACAACTATGGTCGCTTGCTAGCGCACATGGCAATCAGAATTATCGAAAACTCGATATAAATGAAGCTACGATACATTGTTCAATTATATGTTACATGTTTATGCCTTTGATTAAGAGGTATCTTAAATGTTTAGATATCGTCTTTTAATGTGGTATTTGTTTGACTGATTTTAGTTCTGGGTTAAGTAGGAGGTTGTTCGTAGTGGAATGAATTTTTATTTTAGCATAATTATGCTCTTCACTAAGAATTTGATCTCTGAGCAACTATGTGTTCTATCTGGTTATTAGCTTGACATTGTTACATAAAACACTAACCCGTGCACGGGCGAATGCATTATCTCAAGGTTAATTTGCAAACAGTACCATCTCTTCGTGGCATTTAGCGTAATTTTTTCACTAGAGACTGAGTTGGTCTCTAAAGGGATAATTTTGGGAGAGCTGTAGAAGGGCGTAACATTCAAATCTCCATGATTAAAGGAAACAAAATGTTCGTAAACCATTAACTTTATGAAAGATTGTTGCAAAAAAGCAAATGTAGCAACATGGCCAATAAAGTTGTTGCTAAATGAAGGATAACATGTAGACCTTTTTTTACCTCTTCTGGCATGAAAAACCTTTACAAAGATTTTAGCCTTAAAAAAGAAATAAAGATGACCACTCTTTTTTCTTTTTGGCGTTTTGAGACATTCTAGTCATTCTACACTAACATTACAAATGAAAGATAGTTGTAAAGTATTATCAAGTTTCTACACCAAGCGTCACAAGTAATAACAAAGTACTTTGTATTTTTTCGTCTTCAGATGATTTTTGGTAAATGGAATTCGAAGTTGATTTTGATAAGCTTTGTGTTCAGCTCTCTTTACTTCTAAAAACTCCTTCAGATGTCAATATATATAGAGGAAATCTGGGATATAAGGCATTAATACAAATTGCAGTTGCTACATTATATATAGACGCGATTGTAGATGTAATACATAAAAAATATGACAGTAGATTAGATGATCAGATTTACTCATTTACAGAACAGCTTAAAATGGCAGAATCAAACACTAATGAACTTCTTTTCGATCAAGCATTCAACAGTGTCTTTGAGGCTGGTTTTCAGGGGAGTGTATTTGATGCCTAAGCTTTCAACCTTTTTCTTACAAACCTTGTATGTTGGATCAAAAGGCTTGTCATCTGCAGGCCTGAAATCGTTCACAGGGTTTTTTTAGCAGTGAATAATGAGGGATACTAAGCTCTGAAATACGTAGAAGAATGAACAAACTTACTTGGTTGGGAGTTTGAGATCAGGGTAAAGCTCTTTTAAGATTTTTACAACTTCTGAAACATGATTAACACTTTCGTTTAACAGATATCTCCCATTTGCTGAAGGAACCTCGAAAGCTAGAATATGTGCTTCAGCTACATCTTTGACATGAACCCATCCAAAGGTTACATTCTGGTAGGTTTCTGATCCTGAAATAACTCAAAAACAGTTGAATATATTCCAATAAGTTTCATACAAGAGCTATTCAAGTCCAATTAAGTTCAAAGTGTAAAGCTTTTCATGCCAATAAACGAGATGGTCATACCGTTTACCAAGATTAACACAGCAAAAGAACTAGCATTAACTGTTGGCTGCAGCAAAGGGCCTATTACGACTGCAGGGTTTATCGACACCATATCGAGGCCATATTCTTTGGCAAAGTTCCACGCAGCTTCTTCTGCCAATGTCTTTGACAGAAGATACCACTTCTGCATAATAAAACCAAGTTTCAGTTGGTCATTTTCCATCTTCTATACCAATTAGAATATAAATTCTGATCAGAATTTTATGGTGAGTATGCAAACCATTTGTAGTTTCTCGCAGACTTCTGGGACAGAAAACCATGTTTCATCAACTACAGTTTCAGGAGTCAGAGGTCTACCAGTGAGCAGAACAGCAGCCATTGAAGATGTTAAAACAACGCGTTTAATGGTTGGAATCCTAGCACAGGTTTCTAGAACATTCAGTGTTCCATTTAATGCTGGATCAATTAGTTCAGCCTGAAAAAAGATCAGGAATAATAATGGTTCCTTAGAACTGCTAATTGCTATAGTTTATGCATTTCAAGTTTTGTAAACAAAGACAGATGGTATTATCAAAGTGAAGCAAGCTCCAAGTGATTAAGGGATTACTTGAGGATTCGGAACATCAAGTTTAACAGGAGATGCAGTATGGAAAACACCGTCACATCCATGAATGGCAGCATCAAAGGAGCCTTCCTCCAAGAGATTAGCCTCGAATAAGTTAAGTCTATCCTTTGCTCCATCCAATGCAATCAAGTGATCTACCTTCTTTGGATCATCTGTACATTAGAACAAAACAATGGTAGAATTAGGATAAAACTACTTGTATATACTACTACACTATGTAACGAGGGATACCCAGTCAATTCCCCAGATAAACAAAAGGGGTATAATTGTCTTTTCAAGTAGCAGTGGAGGGGTATATGCGTCTTTTCATGTACTAGTTGAGGGGGTACATGTGAAATTTCCTCACCAAACAGTAAAAGCAAAAAGCAAAAAGCAAACATTATTTGGACAGCTCATCAAAAGTACTGAATAAATGACCCTGCTTTTTCAATATATTTACAAAAATGCCATCAGATTAACAAAAATTCGTTTATTTGGCAGATTAACTTATATTTTCCCCTATATAACTAAGACTTGGAAACAACACATCTCAATCAAACATGGGATTCAGGGTTCATGTCCAAGTATCATATTCGATTATTTTATAGTAAAAAATATGCTTTTTTGGTCCAAATTTAGTGTCACATAACCAAAGTTGATGACATTTAATGGCTGAAGTTTATGCATACAGGTAATTCAGAATGTATCATGCATCTGTCTAGCTCTGGCAAAATTTATTCATATTGAAAACTTTGGATCTTGAACACAATAACTTAATCATGAAATTGGAAATTAAAATAACAAGAAATTAAACAACTAACTGAAAATGGTTGACATGTCTTTAACCCAATGCTTAAACAACAGCTGAACTAAACCCGACCTGATCGAGTGATCGACCAATTTGACAAGTCTAGCTAGCTATATATGTCTCATGACACTCAATTCTAAACCAAAACACTTAGATTGTTAGATACATCGTATTCATTCGATGCTGAACCACTTGTGAAAAATAAAATCGACAAATTGTAGATATTTTTGCTAGTGATTGTCAAATTCAATCCATTTTTGAACACCCATTAGGCAATTATTTTCCTCTGTCCATAACCAAGGTAAGAAAAGTTCGTTACAACAAGTAAATTTCCAGCTAGAAACTTCTTGGGATCATCAATCAATTAACAAAAGAAAGATGATTATTGCCATAAAATACCACTATACTCAACCAAAATTCCAAAAAAATGAAACAATACTATATATATTATATACTAATTAAATTCAACAAATTATATTTGAACTACTTCAGTTGTAACAAATTATATTTGAACTACGTACCGCACGAGGAGTGTTTTCTTTTTTTTTTTTTAGAGGATCCTCTTCGATTAGTGAACCATCTAATTAATTACGAGATGATGAAGAGATTAAGACTTAAAAAGAAAAGTCCGTATATTCCTAAAATTTCACTTTTAAAATTGGATGGTCTAGTAGTTGATGAGCTAATGAGCATATAAAATTAAAATAATAAAAGAATCTCGTTTTTTTTAACGAGCATATTAAATTCATAACTCATGTCTCAAATTTAACCCTTCAATCCTTGATCACCACAATATATATCAAATGTACAAAAAGACACTTAGCCTATAGGGAAAACATCTAAAAATATTTTTACACACGAAAAAAAAAGGAAATAGATACCAATGTAACATACTCCCTCCGTTACATATTACTCGCAACAAAGGGGTATTATTTGTGAGACATAAAATATTCTTTTGTTGCAAGTAATATGTAACAGAGGGAGTACATTTATTGATTCTACTTCTACCTACCAAACGGACCGTAAGAGTAAATTAACATACGTACTTACTTAAACTACGAACAGTGGCATTAACTGAGTAACCGCGATCAAGCAAGAGTTTGACAATCCAAGAAGCAATGTAGCCTGAAGCACCTGTAACACATACTTTCTTCCCTTCTCCTGATTTAGAATTCATGATTAATTGATTTAACAAGCAATTATCTTCAATTTAATTATTTTTCTCCTCACTTTATAAACCTTTTTTTTCCCTTTTAATGTGAAGTATGAAAACACGAGTTTATGTATAAACAAAAGAAGGAGAAGAAGACGTTTGTTTATATAGGAAAAATCGAAAAGGTTGTATTGAAATATTATACGTACCAAAAAAAGAGAAATAATATTCGTACTATGCATGCACCCAACTACTAAAAGGTATCAAGCATTGAATAATTTTCTAACAAATAACGGCGTTTAAAATTTGATAACTGCGTCGAAATTGATGGAATTCATGTATTGAAATGATATTTGTACTATGAATGGGAAGGAGTTGAAAATTTGAGAGTGACATGGGATTAATGAGAAAAAAAGGAACATCTTTTGAATAGGAAAACATACTTTTTTCGTCTTAAATTTACCTTGTATTTCTTTTGTTGGGTACGATAATAATAATAACATAAACACATGTTTTTTTTTTTGTTTATTAATCGATACATTAATGCATGATCTGTACAGCCGAGTGCACCATGCACATGAGTATTACGAAGTATTTGACAATCTTAATCTTGTTTAAAAAATATTTGATTCAATTGTTAAAAAAATAAAAAAAATATAAAAAATCAACTGATTTTTTCTTTCAAATTTGATCTCTATTGTATATGTTGTATGAGTTAATTAATAAAATAAATTTACAATTGTTCAAATAGACTTCGTTTTATATAACAGGATGTACGTATTAAGAGATAGGTACACCCAAAAAGTTTTTTAACACTACAGACGAAGTTTTCTTCAAAGTAACACATCTTGGGTAAATTAATTCTACTATTAAGACTCATAAACACTTGTATTATAAACAATGAATAATGCTCCATAACTCCCTTCAGCACTTAATCTGTATTATTATTATTATTATTATTATATTATTATTATTATTATTATTATTATTATTATTACAGAATTATTTTTTGACAAGCACTTATTATGGTGATATAGACAATGAATGTGACACCTTTATTTTATTAAAGAAAAGTTAGGAAAAATTAGTGGATTTTTTCGTAGAGTCGTGTAATGCTGGTAGAAAGCCAAGAAAGGTGATATCTGAAACAAGTAGGTTTGCGTGCACTTTCAAACTCACAGAGTAACAGAAGCTTTTAATGTATTACGATGATTAACAAATACACACCAAAAAAAAAAAAAAAAAAAAACAAAATAAAATACTAGTACATTTTTTTTTTTTTTTTTCCAAAAACTGCAATGATTTTACAACTCTTCCCTCTTCAGAGTTGAGTTCTGCCACAATATAAAGGTCCAAGTACTAAACACGAGATTCTTGTTTATCTTTTTTTTAGTTGCACGGCATCTTAACACAAGTACTACAAGGTGCGAGTAATCTTTTCAGGAGTTCCAATAAGCCACAAGAGCAATTACACATTATTAATCCGTGAATTAAAATAGAGGACATTCAAACTTGTAACATTAATGGTATAAGCAGGTTTAACGGAATCTCATGTCACTAAAGTAAAGATGATAAGGAGTAACGAAAGACAACAAACAACTTAAAACTTTTCAATTATTGTCCATACTACTAGCGTTTTCTTCGTGCATTAGCCTTTTCCCGGGCTCGCTTCAGATCTTGACACTAGTACTCATCTTATTGGCTAGAAGTATAAGCAAAATTATCATATAGAGTAATTATAGCAAGTATGCTTTTATGTTCTAAGGCCCAAAATTCAATCATTGAATTTAATTACCATTCTCAAACAATCAGGCCCATCTCACATTATTACAGTAGATAATATCACTATCATAGCTACCAATTTTACAATCAATTATAACAACACTAAGAAAGGCACTCCTTTATTGTTGCAAAAACCATTCACCCTCAGCTGTGGTTGTAATGTTGAACTTCTCCTTTAAGCACTCGACGGTCTCCTTGAGCGCGATTTTTAAGGGAATGAACTCAATCCCTAAGGTTTTAACTTTTTCATTCGAAATCTTGTAAGTCGCCTCAAGTGGCTCATCGTCTGCACACCTGAAAACAAGAAATGTAGGTTCATATTGCACAAACTAATTAACCTCAGGATAACAATTGTGCTTGTTATTTGGATTATAACCGAGCAAGCTCTTTACTTTATCTTTCAATATAGGACAATTAATTCGATAACTCACTCATATTTGTACCTAGCAAGTGACAGCACTAGTCACAAAATTTGAGGAAAACATGAACTTACTTGTTAGGGAGTTTAAGATTTGGGTATAGCTCGCGTAACAACTTGACTAAATCTGCAAAATGTGCAACAGTTTCGCTCAATATGTACCTCCCATTAGCAGTAGGGATCTCAAAGGCTCGAATATGTGCTTCAGCAACATCCTTGACATGAACCCACCCAAAAGTAGCATTTGAATATGTTTCCGACCCTGAATCAACTATAATATTAGAAGCAATCTAACATTGAATCAAAGTTCTTACAACACAAACTCAGAAAATGACACTTAAATAGCAAGGTAAAGAAGTTATCATACCATTAATCAAGCTAAAAACAAAGAAAAAGGTAGTAATATTTGTGGTTGGCTGCAACATTGGGCCGATAACAGCTGCAGGGTTCATTGATACCATGTCAATGCCATTCTCTTTGGCGAATGTCCATGCTGCATCCTCGGCTAAGGTTTTAGAGAGTAAATAACATTCCTGTAAACGACGATTAAAGAAGTACATCAGAATAAGTTCCTAGCAAATTATAATGTGTAACAGAATCATACATACCCCATTTTTGCCTTTGCAGCACTCAGGAGAAGAAAACCATGTTTCATCAACTACGGTTTCATTGGTAAGAGGTGTACCCGTGTGTGCTATTGCTGCAGTAGAAGATGTTAAGATCACTCGTTTGATAGACGGAGATTTTGCACAAGAAGCAAGAACATTAAGAGTTCCTTTCACAGCAGGATCAATCACTTCTGCCTGAAATTAATATCAGAAATCTCTTGCTAAAGAACATTCTCAACGCGTAACAAATTAACGATTACATGTTCATTAATCAAATGAAACAATAGTGACAACCACAAAGAAATTACAGGAATTACTTCTGCCTGAAATATCAGAAATTACAGAATCAAAACAGAAATAATTCTGCTTATTACTAGTAATAAATTTGTAAGTATTGTTGGTTGTGCAACATGTTTACTTGCAAAATAACATTCTCAACGCGTTCCATGTAACACTGATCAGTGTTACATGGAAATGGAACAATACTAACAAAGTAACAAGTACTCCTAAAAAAAAACTACTCATATTTTGTTAGCAATACAAAAACCAGCAATTAAGTGACTTATATCAGTGAAATTAGGAAGTAACAAGAACATGATTAAAGGCTATAGTTGAACTTGAACCTCAGGGTTTTCCGAAATAAATTTAATGGGAGTTGCAGTATGAAAAACACCGTCACATCCATATATTGCAGAATTAAAGGAACCTTCCTCGATGAGGTCTGCTTCAAACAGATGCAGCCTATGTTTAGCACCATCCAATGCAAGCAAGTGGTCCGTTTTCGTGGGATCATCTGTATGTCCAACCCCAACAACATTAAAACTTGCAACATACACATATAGTTTGGAAACTCAGCTTTCATATAATCTAACCAAATGCGTGACTTTGGGTATTTTCTGTGAGATATAAAATATTTCAAAATTTCAAAAAATATGAAATGAAGTTAATATATTTTTTATTTTTTGATGCAATTTTGAACACCAATGAATAAGGATCAACTTCTCAACACTTTATCATAGTCCTTTAATGTTTTATTAAACTCTAAATTCGAATGCAAATAAAAGTGAAAAATAATATAGCAACGATTTTCTGAAGTGGCAAAATAGCATTACACTAGTAATAGCAACAAACCCATTTTCACAGAAATAATGTCCGTCTATAAAACCTTAGCAGTACATCCTACTAATAATAATACAATAATTATTGTCAAGTAATTTTTCCTAGCTAGTTATATTTACTCGTAATAACTAAATCCGAACAGAGGTAGTCAATCAATCAAAGCCTTAATCCCATAATGGGGTCGGCTACATGAACCAAAAGTGATTATTCCGAAAAGAGGTAGTACGCACTAAAAATCAGAGAAAGGGGAAGGATAAATACTTAAATTGCGAACAGTGGCATAGGACAATATAACCTCGTTGAAGCAAGAGCTTGACAATCCAGGAAGCTATGTAACCTGAAGCACCAGTTACACACACTTTCTTTCCTTCTCCGCTCATAATTTTTTCCATTCAGATTTTTTTATTTTGTTTGTTTTATTTGGAATTTTTGGCTTTTAAAGAGCTGTTTTTTCTCCTTATCCTCATATCGCCTAGTTGTGACTTGTGATAGATGATAAGTATCGTTATTTTTAATATCAATTCATAGTTTGTAGTTTTGTACTGAGTATTAATAAACCCTTTTTATTTTTTTATTTTTTTTTTTACTAATAAAAATGTTGATCGTGTTTTTTACTACAGTAGTTATTATAATAATTTATTACTCTGTATTTAATATTGCGTTATTTTTTTTTTGTAATATATCAATATAGTAAGTGGAGTCTGGAGAAATAACTGCTTCATACTAATTTGTGGACATGACACACTAACACTAACATCAGTATCCATAGTCCATACCTATATAATTACACCATATAATACTGCACACTAAAACTTATGGAAAATCCTCTCAACCAAGGAACTTCTCTGGAAGAACGAGACCAACTGGTTCGTTCCAATAGAAAATCTAAACGGAAAATTACACATCTAATCTTCAATAATGAGAAATCAGCTTCTCAACAATTGAATCAACACAAACCGACACCCCAATTCCAACAACCTAACACCATTTCGTTTAGAGACATAATGAGATCAGATCAGATGCAGGAGAATCCCCATGCCCAGCCTATTGAACAGGAGAGTATCCATACCCAGCCTATTGATCAGATTGAAGAAGAGGAATGCTCAGATGATGATGAACCACCTGAGGGGGTAGAGGATGACCCTCATTGTCCTGTTATCCTGCTCACTAAGGAGGAAAAAATGCGAATGCGAAAGCCTTGGAAGCATACCCTCATTATCAAAATGTTCGATAGCAAATTTGGTTACATGGCCTTAATGAAAAGACTGAAGAAAA